TGGCCAATCCGAATCCGAGATCAGATTTCAATTACATAAATATCCTAATTAGGCTAATTAGCCGATAAGTGCGAATATAATAATAAGAAAAGGCCAAAAATATGGTATGGTGGCTAAATCTCGAAAAGAAAAATCTCCAAAATCGTCACGCATTATTCAATGGTACACCAGAAATCTATGAACTAACATTATTGCTAATAAGTCAAAAGCATTACATACTAGCAGTGGCTGGAATCCGATTATGTACCTGTATATTAGCTGCTGATCAAATGCAAACGAAATATTCGATTATGTTCGTAAAACACGATCGGTTTGTCGCAGGAGAGTTTTTAAACGTGATTATGTGGTTATTATCACCGTTTCAGCTATTATACAAAGAAAAACAAGTCGAAGTTCAGGAACAGATAAATAATGCACGAACGAATGTTCAAATATCAGAGACGATAACTCTGCTACTGGTGGGTATGTAATTCAAAATTAACTTTGACTCATTTTGAGGCGAAAACAAAAACATGAATTCTAGTGAATGCGCTTAGACCGACGTACTTGGGCAAATTTTGTCAAGTGCTTGCCAAGTACGCCATATATTTAGATTACTAGAGCTTCTTGTTTGGTATTAGCTCAACTAAGTGAAGAGTACCGCAGAGACAACGGACAACTAGCAAGCACTTCAAAAAAAGTTTTTTTCTAAACACTTGCAAAGTGTTGGTATGTATTTATCAAGTATCCATAGAGATTCAAAAGTGAGCAGTCAGTCAGCAGTAAGCACAACAGTAAGGAAGGAAGTCTACGAGAATTGGAACCTCACAAAAGTCGTATCAAGTTTTATATCAAAAGATGAGCAAATGAAAAGCGAAAAGCTTGGAAATAATCCGCTTACTAACAAACACCCAATTTTATCGGTTTTCTTTCTGCGTCCTAGGATGTGAAAACTTACGGCTAACGTGAAATAAATAAATAAATTCTTATGGTGACCGAAAGTTAATAAATCAAAACAGCGTCTTAATGAACTTTTACAGAACTGACGAGGAAAGGTCCTCAAGTGTGCAATCGCTTCTTGCTTGGACTCTAGTGGACAATAGATAATCGACTGCGCTAAATCCGAATCTGACATCGATTTGTGCTATTATATGGTAGAATTCGGTTTACTGGTGCAAGCCGATATTGTTGTTATACAATAGTGAGTGAATTGTGCTCTATATTCAGTCAAATGTTACAATGTTGTTTGCCAGCGATTGTCTCGTATTTTTTTACCACAGAAAATAAACAACTGTTATTAACAACAATACCCGTAGTCATTCGATCAATAATGCGTCTATACGCAAAAGAAAAAAAGACAGTAGAATCTTGCATTGATTTCTATGTACGTTACGTAACGTCTATTTTTAAAAGCATGAAGGATGTTTCAGACACTGAGAATGGAAATGCTAACAACAACAGCGAGTGCCGCTAATTTGCAGATATCACAAGTGATCAATGAATCTTACAATATTCACGAGCAACCATCAGTAAAACTATCCAAAGATTTAATATCGTCATATTATACTGTAATCAAGAACATAAAAATTTTGGCAACCACAAATAGAATCGATAGTAAACAAGAAGAAGACCACTCTGCGTTAATGTTCAATAATGAGTGGCAAAAATTGGATATGTTAGAACTTCAACATGATCATAACAGTTTGAAGCAAAAGCATGATGTATTGAACCAACAACTGACAGACGTAAAGGCACACCTTGAACGTACTCAGGCAGAGCGAGATCAGCTCAGAAATCAAAATATTAATTTAACTAGAGAAAATGATCAAATAAAAAATGGAATCACTGATATATCGAATAATAATCAGCAGTTATCATTTAATACCGTCGTCATTAATAATAATATAAAAAATCCACCAACAACGTGCCGTAATCTGACTGTAATCGACGAAGTTTCACGTCTGACCCCGCGCACTATAAGTAGTGATCAAGCAAAAGCGTTTATCGGTGAAATTAATCGTCGGAGAACTGCACTGATAGCTGATGATCTTAGGAGATCCATTTGTGGATCATTGAAGCATCTGGGCTCTGACCTCTATAGTTCGTCAGCGCACTTTTTACACGAATTAATTCAGGTAAAAAAAAGATCGAGAACAGACCAAGTAGGCTACTGCTGAAGAGTATTCATATCTACATATGCTTTATCGAATGATGAAAAGTAGAGATTCTATTTCAACCGACCATACAATAACTAGCATGTTTTTGAATGTTAGGGAGAGGCAAGGAACGTTGTAGCTTTCTGCATTCAAACCTTTTCACTAGCACTATGCTTCTGATGCTAATTCTTCAGCAGGTGTTGTCGTACTCCCTGTTATCTCACTTAGTCCTTATACAAGAAAAAAAACCTGCTAAAGAAATACTGCAATACACAGTTGTATAAGCTAGACAGTCACGAGTTTTACCGTTGTCTAATGCATCAGATCTAATCTATACTCAGGTTTAGATTAGATTTAGTTTTTAATTTTGTGTTGTTACTTTATTAAAAGATACAAAAAATGTTTTGCTTTTTCATGTCACAAAACTACTGAACCCGTTCATAAAGAAAAACATTTTAATGAAAAAACAAGAGTGTGAAGATGAAAACTGTACTGCTAAACATTTAAGCAACATTTTGGTAGCAAAAGATTTTCAACAGCTCTTCTTCTTAGTTACAGAACGTGATCCACGCGAAAACTTTCGCATAATTTCTTTTACCTAAAAAATACGTTATTACATTTACTCTACTATAAACTATCATTTGAAAATTTGTCTTCATAAATGGGTCAATAGGTTGCTGATTTCGCAAAGATTTTGTTGGCTTCTTGACCTTTTTTAGATCCTTGATGCCAGCTCACTCTCGGAGGAAATTATCTAAAAGCTACTGCTGTCTGCTAGGAGGGGAGTAAAAAAGAAAAGAATTAAAACAGCTTACATAATAGATCACACACAACAGATAAAAGGAAGATAAAGATCTCTTTGTTTTTCGTTTTTCTTTTTAAAAATACGAGGTCGACACATTTCAAGATACAAGACCGATAACGTGAGATGAATAAACAGCAATAAACATGAAAGAAGAACGAGAAACGAGCATGATTAATCACCATGTAGACTAATAGAAAAGAACACCACTCACATGGTGTCACAGTTAGCGACAACAGCATGTTGGAGCTAACACTTAAGAGTGTTTATGTTTATGTTTCAGAATGCCGAAGATAATGACTACGATCATTCAGTTATCCCTAAACTACGAATTGAGCTGAGTAAGGCATATATATTGTTGTCAAATAATGAAAAGGGTCTACGAGCAAACGATGTAATGGCTCTGTGCAGTCTTGCTGTTAGCACTAAACAAATTGGAAAACATATTGGACAAAAAGGTCTTGGTTTTAAATCAGTATATTTAGCTACGAATAAACCAGCGATTATCTCTCAACCATGGCAGTTTTACTTTCAAGTACCAGATGCTGATGAAATGTCTTATATTACTCCATGGTGGCTGGATTCACCGCTGTCAGAGAATGTTCAGATGATAATTTCGTCTTGTCCATTAGATACTCATATATATTTACCATTGAAATTTCAACACAACACATCCGCTTTAAACAACTTTTTAATCGATATTTCTCGAGCAATTGATCCGTATATTTTATTAAATATAAACAAATTGATGCACTTAGAAATCAAAGATAATACGAAAAAGCAATCAAGATTTATCGAAAAACGAGTACAAAATGCTGATGAAACAGTACTTAAACGAACTAAAGCAACATTTGAAAATTTTGGATTTTACAATTTAAATTGTTCTGTTGTCGAATTGCATACACATTCAACCACAACAAAAATAAAAAAATGTGTAAAATTTCGTGTATATACATGTGAAATTGAAATACCATCATCAATTCAAGAGAACGATAAACAAACAACATTGACATTATCATTCCCATTCGTTGACAATAACGAAGAATTAACTACACGAAGAAAAAAAAACCGTGAAACTCATGACGGTTTTTATACACGGTTTCTCGCAGTCAGTTTGGCACGGTTTTTTTTCTCGATTTTAGTTGTTCATGCTTTTGTTTCCTATGGTTCCAATATGACAGTTTTGCTTTGACGGTTTTAAAACTTTTAGAAAAACCGTCCAGGTAAAACTATGCAAGTAAAACCGTCTACTTTGAAAGGGAAGAAAAAAAGAACAGCT